ATTAATAAACAATCCTCAAACTCCAGGGGCTTAAAAAAAAGTTTCTTGCTCATTCTATGCATTTGACAAAGGGCTCTCCTCATGAGCCTCCCAGGGACCCAGGCAGATGGAGGTTATATCCCTGTAGCGAGAGGAAGGAAACTTGGTGGGTTGTACGCTCTTTCAAAACTTCCATGAAGAAGTAAAACACATTATTTCTGCTCATAGTTTCATTTGTCAAAGCAAAGGGAACAGTTCAATACTGCCATGCATATGGAAACTGGCACTTTGGTGAAAAGCCCTAATGACTACTATGCCACGTGAGAGGAGAGGACTCAAATAGCTTGTACTTATATTCAAATAAGTTCAAGAAGTCTCTCTAAAATCAACCATAAATTATAATTATACACTCACAAAATATTTTCACTGTATTAATGCAGTTATATAGAAAGTGGCAACCTTCCTTCTGGTCTATAAAATTTTGATAGCTATGAGAACAAAAAATATCATTTAATAATGGATAAAAATTTTTAAAAAGTATTGATGTGGGCAGAGTCTAAATCATGTGAAAGCTTTCATTACTTACTACAGAGGAATTCACTTTCTATTGAAAAGAAAACAGAAAAATATAACAATATTTCTCCGTCTATAATCAGCTTATTCTGAAGTTCTGCTCTAAAGACCTGTGCTATGGTCTCTATTTATTGGATATACTAACATAAAGTCTTATTACATTTTGACATTTAAGTTTGTCTTTTCTGTATACTATTTGGAATAGTTGCAGCAAGTGCTGTCTTTTGCATACCCAAGAGCCACTTTCTTCTTTTCTGTTGGAATCCTGATTTGTTCCAGGGTCCATTCTTCCCACGAGAGACTTGGGATAAAATCCTAATTGCCCAAATCTAATCACTGTGGCTCTTGCTACTCTCCTTTCTTCTTAAAAATAACTTGAAACAGTAATTTCTCTTGCTGGATATTGTTGAGTCTGTAAGAGATGCCTGGAACTGAAGCAGCCAGCTTATAACAAAGAAATAACTTAAGAACAATGGCTGAGTAAAAGAGGCCTTTAAACTCATTGAGATTTATCTTTTTTAAAAATGTAAAATAATACATCCCCTAATTTTTTAAGCCAGTGCTTCTCAAATGCCTGTCTGAAACATGATCGACAGCTACTATCAGAATGTGTATCAACACACATTTTCTTTCATCAAGGAAGGTTTTCTACAAAGAATATAGATCGACTAAATGGTGCAGCCAATGACAGTCGAGTTACATTTTGACAAAAGCTCCTAATCTGAGTCTGCAGTAATTGGATTATTTTAATATACATTTGCTTGGAGAACCAAAGTCAGCACGTTACCAGGGAAAAACTTATGTTCAGAAAACAATGAAATGTACCTCATTTTGGTGTACAGTCTAGGCGGCCTGGAGTTTGCTCTTTTAAGGTCATTTTATCATACTTGGCTTCAATTCAATAATCCATTCAATAAATGTCCATTGATCACTTACTAGATTATACATGCAGGATACATGAATAAATAAAAGCTTCCTTGGTCTCAGAAAGATCACAAGCTGATATGGAAAATATATAAGAAATCAGAAATTACAGTACATGCTGAGGTAATTATAAAGCTATTTGTAGGGTGTTAGAGACTTATGAGTAGTGTTTGGGAAAATGGGGAGGAATCAGCAAGGACAAACTACAGAAAATGTGACACCTGACCTAAGTTAAGAAATGGAGCTGTGGCCAGAGTGACATGCTAAGGAACTGGCATCTTATTGAAAGTGACAACTTATTACATGATGACTTGCATTTTAGTACCATGACTCCAGGAATTTTTACACTGGTAATGTATCTGCTGGACAGCTGGTTAGAACTGTAGCTTAATTGAAACCACCTAAAACTGAATTATAACTTTGGGATCAACTTGAACAATTTCAAAATGTCCACTTTAGTTCTTCTGTATTTTTCATTCAGCACGCCACAACATAAAGTTACCTAAAATTAGACATATTCCTATTTTTAATCACAACCACACTAAGATACTGACATATGAAAAACTGAGGCAGAGATCATCTCTTGTTGAAGTGGTCAAGCCTGGCTTTGAATCCAAGCAAATCTTAATCCTGAGCCCATATTCTTCACCCATTTTTACTGCCTCTGCAGCAAAATGCAGGATATCTTTTTTAGGGCAACCAAACCTTAATTACGGAGGCAATAGTGGCTTCTCTTAAAAGCAAAACCTGGGTTTTGGGCTTCTGCCAAACTCCCTATTCCAGTATTCTGGAATCGGAAACACCTGCATAAGGTACATTTTACTTGGCCTATCAGTTTCATGTAAGTATGTATGGGTCTATCGTGTTATTTTTTCCAAAACCTGAATTTTTATGAAAATCTTGTGGTTGTGTTAGCTTGAATTAAAAAATGTACATGGTGGGAAGGGTGAGGTAGATGGGGTCAAAAATGTAAAATTGGAAGTTATATAAATTACACTGTGAATAAAAAATAAAAGTGTACATAGTGTGTATATACATACACACAAATTACAAAAATTAATACAGTGGTTTTTAAAAATTCAAGCCAACACAAAATTATACTGGAGTCGTGTTTTTTATGAAACTGTGATGGCAAATTTTAAGTGTCAGTTTGGCTGGGCCACGTCCAGATATTATTAGGTCAAACATTACTATGGCTATTTCTGTGAAGGTGCTTTGATGAAATTAAAGGTGACTATTCTTCATAACATGGGCGAGCTTCATTTAATCCGTTGAAGACATTAAAAGAAAAAGACAAAATTCCCAGGAAGAGGGAATTCTGCCAACAGATGCTTCAGACTGGCACTTTAACTCTTCTGTACTTAACCCCCATCAGATTTTGAACCTGACAAGCTTCAACAATCCCATGAGCCAATTCCTTCATCTCTCTGCATATACATCAGATTGGTTCTGTGTCTCCAGAGATCACCAATACAGAAACTAAACATTTGTTTGGTCTCATATCATTCAGTATACTCACACTGAAAGTCAGCCTATCGAACCCTTTTTATAGGAGTGGGACAATCCATGCCTCCTATCTCAGAAAAGGAAAAGCGTTTTATTTTTCACTTACAGCAGGTCCTTGGATGTCATTTTGTTGTAACACTAGTGAGAAAATAGTGATCTTGGCTAAGGCCACTGTCTGTGTGGTTTGCACATACTTTCTGCGTGGATCTTCTCTGGGTACACTGGTTTCCTTCCACATCCCAAAGCTGTGCAGGATAACAGACATGCCTAAATAGTCCCAGAGTGTGGGTGTGCATACAACCTAAGCTGCCAGAACAGGCTCTGGTCACCCTCGACCCTGAAAAAAATAAGTAGGTTGGAAAACAATTCATGTTTCTATTAAACTTTCTTAAATGTGTGTATAGCTCACATTTATTTCAATGTTTAATGTTAGAAGTGTTTTAGGTGTTTATTTAGGTTGGTGATTTTTGCGGGGAGTGGGGGTAGAATCAGATATATGCTGTAGAAACTTAGCTCTTGTTTACACCAATTAGTCTATGGTAGACTGGTTTCATTAAGTTGTTTTGCTTCAAGTCTCAGAACCTACTGGCAATGTTAGGTCAGGTCTTACTCTATGATCTTCAAACACTTTAACTTAGGAAGACAAATTTAACAAATGAGAGTTCTACCTGCACCCTGCTGTCTGGTACTGTTAACTTTTGATTCTTGATGCATTTTAAGTCATAAAAAAAAAAAATCATTTAGGACTTGCCAGAAATTAAAATGTTTTTATATAGCACACTAATTCTCAAAATACAAGTTAAGGCTCTATCCCCATTACCTACATGAAAACCAAGACCATTCAATTTGTAATTTAAGGGCAAAAATTTAAACCAAGAATTCAGAATCATTTTATGAACTCTATAAACTTACCCTTCTTAAAGGTAAGAAACCTTTATGTTCCATAGAAAAACACTAACATAAGATGACGTTTCACGGATGGATAATCAAAAAATGATGACACGCAAGTATAGGGAATAGGTGGACAGAGTCATTTAGATTAAACTGCATCCATATCTGAGCAGTTGCCAGGTGGTTACTGAAGTCTAAAATAGGCCTTTTCACACAAACTAAGAAAAAAGAATTTAAGGTTCTAGTAAATCAGTAGTTTAATATTAGGGACAAACAGCAAATCTAATGTTGAGGAATGACCTAGGCAGCCATTTTGTTCCATGAAGGAATGTAGAACCACCCAGAGCAATTTGTTAAGAATCCACAAATAGACTTTTATGTTGACTCTTCTAGTATTAAATATTAATTTAAAAACAGTACAGCTCTCACCAAAAAGTTGAGGAAAAACAAGCCACCAGCGATATTCCAAAATTGACCAAACTGGCATTAAAATATTCAGTAGCCAATCACTTGATTTCCTTGCCCTAATATAAAACCCTAGAAATTAAGTTATTATACTTTAAGTGGCAAGCAGCATTTCACTACTCATGTAAATCTGATTCACTGATACAATGATTAATCAGAGGCATTTTCTAACCAATTTCTACTCATCAAGAGTTCCAAAATAAATGAGTAATATTTTCTATATTCTACTTTACATGCTATTACATTCTATTTCAAATGTGTTTTTATTCAGTCTAAGACAGACTAATATTGGTCAGTAGCACATTTATTCAGGCAAAAATCTGTTTTAGGGTATAGGTCTGGAAGAAAAAAAAAAACAAAGCTTTCAACTGCAACCTGTACACACTATTGTTTTCCTCATGATTATCAGTCATGGAAAAAACCAACATCTTTAAGTAAAAAGGAAGACTAAATCTCTTCAGATCTCTAAATTGAAAAACAACAAATTATTATAGCACTACCAAAGTCAAGTTTGAATTCTTTGATAACATAAATTACCAACAAAGTTGTGACCTAGGAACCAAAAATTAAATCTCAGAATTTAAGACCAAGAAACAAGCTAAATCACACACATTTTGATCAAGAAACAAATAGAGATATTACCCAAATAAAAAGTACACACATTTTCAATTATCACATTTTCTATTTCAGAGTAGAGGCATTAGGGATTCATGTCTTAAGTTTATTTACAAACATATCTAATATGTTGAGTTCAACAGTTTGATCCATTTTTCAAGGGGACTGCACCTCTTAAAATGTTCTTCATCTGCAAATAAAAATACACACAAAAAATTAATGGTATTTTCAAAATTCCATTCAACAGAAATCATGTAGTTTCATTAATATATTGTCTGTCCATTAGTTTATGACTGGTACATCAGAAAGCGTTTACAGTATCATGACTTCACTCATACTGATTTGCTTCATCATATGCACCAAAATCTTTCCATGGCTTGAATAAATCATTTCCCTTCTAAACTACGACAAAGTCTTTACTTTCCAAAGTATATTTTGGAGTTTATTCTGATTATCCCACAGTTTCCTACAGTGCTGTTTTGAGGAAAATTCTGGTTACGATTAAGCTAAATTTCACACAGGGAATCTGCTAACCTTCCAGTACACAAGTAGGCACACACTAATATATTGCCCTCAAGATAGACTAACATTAATCAGTTTGCTAAAACTTTACCTGGTTAAGACTGTGAGCTCTGTAACAAGACTCCCTGGGTAAAAACCTTGTTCTACTGTCATTAGCAATGAAACACTGGAAAATTTAACTTTTTTTTTTTTGTCTTAGATCAGGTTAATATTATCCAATTCACAGGCTTGCCTGGGAGCCACATGAGATTATTAATGTAAAGTATGCCTCACAATCAGTTACCCTCAATAAACCCTGGTTTTCAGGTAAAGAAACACTTATTTCTAGGTTTATCAACATGTTTCCACCAATGTCACACATGCACTTAACTTCAGGAATCAGCCCTACCTGTAAAAATGTATTTGTAATTTTTTTTTGTTTGTTTCAGAAGGTAGGGTGGAGAAAGGAGAAAGAAATAAATAAAAGGGGAAAGCACTGCTTTGGGAAGATTAGAAATCTATTAATTACCTGTTTTATGGATTAACTAAAACATCCTCATTTCTTAAGGAGCTGGTGTCTTACTATAAAGAAAGGTGCAGCAAATCCAGATCCAAAGTACAAAGTCATCATAGCTAGCAACCGCCATTTATTTTCCACTGAAAATGGCAAGTTCTGTTGGAGAAAAAAGAGAACAGCAACAAAAACAGAACTTCAAATCATCTGATTTTATAGATCAAAAATACACAGGGGATGCTAGTTTTTTATATTTTACATAATCAGGTTATACATGCCACATATCATAGCACCCTTTAATGATTATCTTTCAAATCCTATGACCTTCATCATACATAACAGTAAAAGGTAAAAACATATTTACTGAGAACCAGGAATTGGTCTGATGAACTCAAGTGTAAAACAGTGAGCAGCTTTCTATTTTAGAAAATGAAAAATATTCTCCAAAAGTAATTTTAGAAATAGAATGCATTGCTCTAGTTTACTTATAAACTAGCCACCAAAGCACATTTCAAGGTTAACTGCACTATGTAGTTTTACTTTTTCATAATCAAGCAGCCCTACCCTCAATATCTTTTCTCAGCCCTTTACCACTAGTTACCACTGCTAACTTCCCGATTTAAGTATTTATACTTGAGGCTAAACCTGACCTTCACCTAGGAAAGTTAACACAATTTAGTCAACTCATTAGAAATGAGTGTTGACCCACAATCATAGGCCCTTATTATCTTTGTTAGTTTCCAGTGACTTTCATTCCGAGTTCGGTGACCTCTAGCTCGGCTTTAAGACACAATAGCTGCCGCAAAGATCTCCACGACTCTCCAGATCTTGCAGCGGAAAGGGGGAGGGCTAGGGCGAGGTTGGGCCTTCAGTCCACCTTCTCATTCCTTTCCTCGAGTAAGGCATCCAGGGTCCTGAGTTTTCTATCTTGTCTCTGAGGTAAGTGGAATGCTAGTCGGCGTCCCAGACCAAATTCCTGGCTTACCATCTCCCTCTACATGACCCATAGGCGGCCTTGGGAGTTTCGCGAGTCGCAGCCAAGTGCCCCCTCCCTAAAGAACCCGAGGCCCTATACACACTAACCTTCCCTGGGCCCTCCTCATAGTGGCTCCTACGGACCACTGAAGTTGTGAACCTCCGGATGCTCTGTCCCAACATGGCGCTGTTGGAAGCCCTGCAGAAGGAGCAGGGACCCAAAATGAGGAAATGGCGGTAGCACACTAAGTCCTCCTTTTTTCACGACCTTGTTCCCCTGAGTGCAAGGACCGAAAGGGAAGGTGGGAAATGGGGCGGAGCTCTCGGAAAACGCGACAAAGTGATGGGCTCAGAGCATTTTGGGAATTGTAGTTCGAAACGTCGAGTCGCCCAGTTGGCCCTGAGGGATTATGGAAAATGTAGTCTCGAGTCAGGCTCATGGAGGATCAGAACTCCGTTTATTACTAACAGTGACTCATTCAGACTCGAGTTCTTACCGAGTTCTTGACAGGATTCTTGGGGTCTGTTTCCCAGGACGATTTTACTGAATTTAGTGAAGCTGTTTCACCACGTGTGCTCTAGTTTGTGAAACAAAAATAAACCTTTCCCTTCTTTTTTTTCGTTACTATATACTAAAAGCCTGTGATTTACATTACTCTGCCAGCACTGAGAGATGTGTGCTTTGATCTTATCGGAGGAGGCAAAGCATAAATGCAAGTAAACCACCAATATGCGGTACAAAGGATGTCAGAGAAAAATGAGTTGAGTGCTATGAGGGTTCCTGAAGATAAAGGGAACAGAATACAACATAAATACGAACAGAAGGCAGAGAAAACTTAAAGCCAGTACGAGTATGTCATGTTCAGTGTGTGGATGAGAAAAGCAGCCTCT